TCGGACTCCTTCCCTGGGCTCCGGGGGCGCCGGCCACCTGGCCCCCGCTTTGGTCCTTCTTCTTCCGCATCATCGTCATCACGGAAGCCAAACTGGAGGGCGCCGGGCCCGAGGGGCTCCTGTCCGCGCTGTTCCCCCCTCAGCCTCCGGAGGGCCCGACGTGACATAGGACCCAACGGCCGCTGACGTGCGGGATCACCTACGAAGGTGCGGGCTGGCCCGGACGTGTTCTCGCGCGAGTTGCGTGCCCCGACCGCGGCGTCTCCGCGTCTTCTGGAGACGACCCGCACCAGGACCTGCACCCTGTTTCGCGGAGGGACGCGCAGGTGAGAGCTGGAGGTCTGGGGGGCCCGGCCCGCTCTGCGCGCCCGGCCTGTGACTCCTCGGCCAGAGTCCGAGACTGCCCGCGGGACGGTCCCCTCGTTAGCGATCGGCTCATCCAACCGAGTCGCTCCCCAAAGCTTCGGACTTCGGGACACCCCCACGGACCACCCTCGGGCGGGATAGACCGAACCCGATCCGCTTGCTGTTTGCCTTTTGCTGTTGCTGCGCCGGATGGTCTCCTGTTCCTCTAGGTTTGGGAAAGCTGGTCCTGTGCGTCATAACCTCCTGGGAGGCTTTTACAATAAAGATGGAGGGCCCAGGCCAAACAATCCCGAGGTGCAGCATTGTTATTTTTAAAGCTCTCTGGGGAATTACAATGTGCAGGCAGGATTGAGAACCCCTGCACTGTCCCCAAGTGCAAGGCCAAGATGAGCGGGAGTGGGGTGACGGACGATGGCAGCCTTGAGCGTGGGGGCGGCTGTCACTATGGAGTCAGGCCTGGCACCCTACCAAATACCTCATCCTGCGAGGTGGGGGTCCCCCTTTTACAGGTAAAGAAAGCGGGACTCAGAATGACGGGCACAGGTAGAATCTGGATTTGCATTCGCGCCTGTGGTTCCAGAGTTCGTTTGAGGAAGGCTACTGGCAAGGACAGAGAAGGGGAGGCAGGACGGGGTGCGCGTGCGCATGCCTGCACCGCCTGGCTGGTCTGTCAGCCTGTGCTGGTCACTTGGATCTGAAACACTTCTCACCAGCTGCCACAGAGCTGCTGCCTCAAGCTCCCCAGTCCCACCTGCCCCAGCCACTTCCCCAGTCTCCTAGAATCCCCGCTGCCTGCAATCCAGCTACTGAAGGGTTGTGCGCAGCCCAAGTGGGGCCTTCAGGACCCGTGTCCATGGGGCATGCATTAGAGCCTGGTGTCCAGTAGACCTGGGTTGACATCCCAGGGAAGCAGTGTCCTCACCCACAGGGCGGGATGCCAACAGAAGTCGCCTCCCAGGCACATATGGGCAGGCAGGGCACAGGTATCCCTCCAGCCATTATCCTGAAGAGCAGGGCGGAGGTGCCCCTACCCTGCGAACCCCAAGGGATCTGGGGGATGAGGACAAAGGGTGCCACAGGCTGGCCGGTGACAGGCAGCAGGCTAACTTGCTGTCCCACATGCAGCCCTTGGTTCCGCATAGGACTAAAGTGCCAGATTACGAAGTTGAGGGTAGAGAATGGGAGTGGGCCTGAATGCCCTCATCTCATGATGGGCATCCTGACTGCCTGGGGCGGCGGGGGATGCGGGACAGGTGGCCCCTCAGCCCCAGCTTCTGTGCTTAAGAGAACATACCACTGCTGTGCTGGGTAGTCCTTAGTCCACGCCCCAGACGGGAGCCTGAGACCACCTTTATTGGGCCGAGTGGCCGTGAAGACACATTTACAGGGCTCCTCCCGGTAACCAGACCGAAAGCATTGCAGGGGCATGGTGTCGGGAAGGGAGTGAGTTTTGCTTCAGGCTTCCGAGGGGGTGGCCCTGGGACACCTGCCTGGGAGGATCTCAGCCCACTCAAGCTGCCCAGGTGCCCCCACAGCCCATATCCTGAGGGGAGCACAGATGCAAGCAGGACGCTCCAGTTCACCTGTGGACCAAGACGCCCTTCCACGCCTGGACATCTGCCCAAGGAGGGATGGCGAACACACAGGGGCAGGGTCCTCCCCGGAGCCCCACCATCCCTTGCCTCCAGTCTGCCCCCCTTTCTATCCTATGCCATCCCCACTCCACCCACGGAGTCCTGAGAGGAAACAGCCTCCCTGGGGAGGATCCTGGAAATAAGCCTGACCCCAAATGGGCTTGGGGCCAGGAAACATATATAAATATATCGGCTGTGTATATGTTATATAAATGTATATGTATATATATATATATGTACATGCACACTCCGGAGGCAGCTAGCAGCTGTGCCCCAGGATGGGGAGCGCTCAGCCTCATCCAGAACTGGCCCGGCTCCTCCCCAGAGGCCTGGCCACCTTGCAAAGCCTCAGGCCAGGTAGCCTGGGGTAGCAAGGGCTGTCACTTGAAGTCAAGAGTCCAGGTGTTGGGGATGTAGAGGGACTGGGTCTGGCGGGCACGGCGAGGGGTGGTGTTGAGGGCATCCACGCTCTTGCGGCTGGAGCACACCACGTCAGCCACGAAGCTGGTGCAGTCGCTGCAGACGTCCTTCAGGACGCAGCCGTGGGTGTACATGTGAGGGAACTCCTCCTCCACACTCTGCCACTGGGGCCTCTGCAGGGACCTGGGGAGGGACGGGGCGTCAGGGAGGTCCCCCACCCATTTCTCCACGTCCACACCCCTCTCCCTGCATCAGGCACGCACGGTGTTTGGAGTGAACATGCCGAACCAAGTGCACCCTGGAAAAAGCTCTTCCTCGAGAGGAACCTGAGTCCTGGGCCCTCACCACCCAGCACGGTTTCCATCTCATGCTACTCAGCCCCCAGGGCCCTCCCAGACGTCTGCGTCTTGTTTCCTTGGGGCGTCCCAGGAAACAGGACACCTCCCTCTCCAGCTCCTGTGTCACCGGCATTGCCTGGCACACAGGGTTGGCAAAGGCACGCACTGGAAGGCGTCTCTCCGCTGTGTGGCTGTGGCTCTGGCAGCTGTCACCCTCTGAGGATTCTCAAAGCCCAGCGTGTAGACAGGGATGTGTGCAAACTTCTTGGAGGGCATCTTCATCTGCAGAGGGTTGTGGGTGGACAAAGGCTTCCCTAGAGACAGTCCAGGCACACTCGCCCCTGCAGCTCT